CTTGGCCGCCCGAAACTTATCCAAAGCCTCCTTTCGCTGCTCTTCCGTAGCCGTAGGGCACTCCTTCAGCCAGTGGGCACCACCGCACACCAGGCATCCATCTACAGGAGGCTTGGCAGCCTTCGTCGGACGCGTCCCTGCCGGAGCACCTGACTTCGTGCGGCGATCCGTCGTCGTAGCTGGCTGCTTCTGCGACTTGCTGACTTGGTTCTTGGCAGGACGGGAAGTGACAGCAACGGGGGCATTCTCTTTGTTCAACCGATGGTATTGTGAGTTCTACTCAAAATTTCCATGAGCGGTTCTTTGAATGAACCGCCCCCAAATCGCCCAGCGTATACAACTCCGTATACTTTTCCGTTTAAGTACGAAATAAGATCTTGACATGTGGCAAGAACTGACTTGGTGGGATCTGCTAATGACTTGGATTTGTATGTGAGCGATTGTCCTCCCACGACAAAAACAGACCCAAATCGGCAAATTTGGACGGAATTTACAATACCGGTGCTGCGCCTTGGCGTTCTCTAGGATTAGGTCAAAACGTGCGACGTCACCTGTACGGCAGTCACGTCGCTCCAAATCAACCAGACGCTCAATCTGTTCTCGCAGAACTGCTGGCTGCAAATTCTCCATCAGGAGCTTGCACCGCGCCTTCATTCTGTCCCTGTAGCCAGGAAAAGACGGGTCGGTCTTGCCGATCAGTTGCTGTAGACCATTATCCTCCACAACCTTCACAAAGTCTTGGAAGTAGCGAAAAATTCTGGCATCACAGTCGTCGATTGAAAGATCCATGCGTAGGTTTTTCTTGAAAAATGACTTGACATCAGGCACGTAGGCATTCTTGAGACTGTTGCACCGGCCATGAACCAGCTGAATCGTTGTCCGAGATCACCTCAGCCGGTCGCTTCAGCACGTACGTGGCGATGATCTTCACGACCTCGGGCTTGACACAGCCCTTCACAGTGGACACCACCGCTTCAAATCGCTCGCCAGTCACAGCACATCGCCGACGAATCTTGTTCAAGTAGTGCTCCCA